GATGTTCCAACGACGCACGGCCTCGCCAATCAGCTTAGCTGTCTTGACCGCATTCTCCGTAGCAGTGCCAGTGACATCACTGTCGGAATCATACTCCTCGTCGGAAACACCTCCTTCGTCTTCGCCGCTCAACAGACCGAGTTGCGTGACTTCCGCAGTTATGTCGCGCATCGCATCGTAGCCTTGGCCATGCTGACTGGGCGCCTTGAGATGGAGAAGCAAGTCGAGAAGATCGTCAGGAAGCGAGCGACCCCGAGGCTTTATCTCTCTCAACTGCACCTCCGCCTTGATGGCAGCGTAGCCTCCGCTCTCGTTCATTGCAACTTTGACGACACGCTGAAGGAAGGGTATGGGCCGCCAACCAGCCTTGCCCTTCGCGCTGCCGCTGCCACTACCTTGCGCATCCGACGGACGAGATCGAACAAATACGTGGCCGGATTCGGTGGTCAAGATCAAGTCTGAGCCTTGGCCAAGCGACACGTCCTCGGCTGCTCCGATCTTCTTGTTCTTGCGGACTGACCAAATGAGCTGTGGCTTTACGCCCAACTGCTTGGCTGATGCGACATTACCAGAGGTAATGGAACCGCTGCCGTACTCGGAAGGATGACCAAAGCTGAATGTGAAGACGTCGCCCATGTCAGAGATCGCAGCAAATTGGTTGTTGGGTCCCGAGACGAGCCTCTTGATGAGAGGCTTGGGACGGGCTTGCCGAGGTCTGAAGACGGACATGTCGCTGCTGAAGCCCGGTTGCGGGAAGCGAAGCACGAAGTGGCTGTCATTGTGCAAGATGAGGACATCTCCGGAATGCAGTAGACAGGCGGTAGCGAAGCTTGAAACTGCAAGATTCCGAATTTTCTGGGCTGCTGTGATGGCTGTCACCTTCCTCGGGGTGACTTGCACTGCCGACGCGTTGCGGTCGTACCCCAGCTGGCCCGTATTGGTGCCCCACGTGTAGAGAGCGTCGGCTGTGAATGCAGCCGTGTGAAGCTTACCCGCAGCTACTCCCAGCACCTCCTCCTTCTTCAGTGTTCCGACAACTCTTCTGGGGCTGATTTGCACATCAAAATTCGATGCAGGGATCGGTGGGCCGGATGTCGTCCCGCCAAAGGTGGCGACACTAGTTCCGCTCACGCTGCGAGGGATCTGAGTGGATCCAACTGTTCCTTGTCCATGCTCAATGACGAAGCCCAGCTGTTGAAATTTGTTGTGACCGAAGGTGTACAAATGTCCCGTTTCAGTGACGATGCAGGTGTGATCGTCACCAACCGAGATGGCGACTGCGCGTTCGTGAAAATCTTTGAGGGTTTCTAGCTTGGTCTGGGTGGAGGACGAGCGTCCCAATCTGCCGTTTCCTCCTATGCCCGCACACCGCACATTGGAGCTGGTCTCGTCGGTCAGCACGTAAGTTGTGTATTTGTTCATGACGATGTCCTTGATACCGATGCGATTGAAATAATGACCTGGCTCCATCGCGGCGCGCTCTGCGTCTTCCGGGCGCAGCACCCTGACTCGCTCAGGCAATGCTCTGTCCGATCCATCGCCATGACCAAGAGAGTAGTTGCGATTGGCACCCCAGGCATACAGCTCTCCAGGAGGTATCTTTGCGGCCGGACCAACAGCTTTTCCTCCCGCCTCCCCTGGGGACGGTGCCGAGCCGGTCACTGTGGAGTTGTACAAATCGAAGGGTGTTAGGCCCTCATAGTCCTTCAACCGGCCGTCTGCAGCTCCCGAACCGGCACTACGCCTGAGTAAAAGCTGTGCAGTAAGTATGTTTCCGTGATACAGGGCGCGATGCAGGGGCGTCCAGCCTTGAAAATGAGTGCAGATCGAGAAAGACCAGGTCAGCAAGACCGTTGGAAAGGCCTGCGCTCGAGAGCCCCTGCAGCTCACCATTTTCACCATCGGCAGCATTGATGTTCAGTCCTGGATGCGCAAGCACTGCAACCAGCCAATCCTGGCCCCATGGCTCGGTGCAGGAAGCTATGAAATGAAGGACTGTCCTTCCCAGATGGTCTCTGCGATTGACCTCCGAGGGTGGACATGGCACTCCAGCTGCTGTTCCTACACTGGTGCTGAAGGATCGATGCGCAGGAGAGCGCGGCGATGGAGAAGGTCCGTCGCCTTTTCCGCTGGGCAATTGTGTGCCTTTGAGCACAGCGCGAAAGCGCTGCGCTCGTAGCCGACGGCGGGGCAA